CTGTGTTATTCATCAAGCTCTCAGGATGGCTCGTTTGATGTAAATCAGACTGTAACTTGTAGTTGCTGCTGTTGGAAAGAGACATTGTTTATCTTCTAGCAATGTTTTTTATTAATCATGAAAGTGCAAATGTGTATCTTTCCAACTTCACTGAAGTGGAGAATGCATTGTGCTGCACGATAAAATATATGTATTTGTGTTCTCAGGGAGATCTGGGTCCCTTCAACCCTGGACTACCTATTGATGTTCCCGTGTGGCTGGCTCTAAACCTAAAACAGAGACAGAAGTGTAGAATTATTCCTCCTGAGTGGATGGATGTTGGTAAAGTTCAAAGTTTTTCCTGATGCGGTCTTTGCAGGTGTTTGTTTCCAGGCATGAACTGACAGGATTACTTAAAAATGTTTCAGATGAGTTTCTTTCAGTATTTTGAGTATTTTTTCCTTCACATTATGATATATGTAATCATTACTGGCCTACCATGTTAAGCCTAGACCTGCCTTGCCATAACTTTGACATGTAAGTAGTGCTAAAGTATTTACCTCCTACGACTATTTTTCCAAATTTGTATTAGATAAGTAAAATAAAATGGGCACAAGAAATGCAGTAAGATTGTTCCCTTAGTTGTAAGAGGCAAATTATTCAGATTTTGTGTTCATTACAAATGCAAAATGTGTAAAATATGTGTATGTTGTTGTTGGTCTGTATGCTGTAAGAAATGCTGAAAAGAATAAATTCATTGGTGGTTTTATTTGGAATTTCTGTTTTACTTCTCCTACAAAAGTCAGCAGAAAAGAGAGGAATCTTGAAAATCTTTCAGCATTTTTGTGTGTCGCTGCAGTTTGCTGCTGTTGACATTTTCCTTCACTGTGCAGAGAAACTGGAGGAGATGCGAGACCTTGAGAGAAAAGAGGATATGTTTACACCTGTTCCCAGTCCTTACTACATGGAGCTTACCAAGCTGCTACTAAACCAGTGAGTCATATACAATTAACCCTTTAAGACCTACCATAGAACCAAGTCTGCCAGAGCTTACTTTATATTTTTACATGTTGTGGTGCCATTTTTGGGAGCATTTTAAGTTGCTATACATCAATACAACCATTATTGCCCAAATTTTAATAATATGTATGCATTAAGTCCGAAGGATCTGGACCTCCTCAGAAAGTAATCAATT